CCATTGCACAGTAATCCTTTTACATCTTTTGATGCCCATTCACACCTAGCTGCCATTCTGCAGTCTAAGTGGTCCTCTGTGGCTCTAATACAGGGGGTGTCAAACTCAACTCCATGGTGGGCCGCATCAGCATTATGGTCGCCCTCAGAGGTATCTGTAAGACCATATCAATGTATCTTCATCACCATTGCCTCTGCGTCCCATTGTCACTTCATACCGAGATCTGAGAGTAGAAGTCCTAGGATGTGGCCCGGTGGGCCGGATTCGGCCCCTGGGCCTTGAGTTTGACACACGTGCTCTAATACAAAAACTTGTCTTTGGAGGCATGGAGACACGTGATGGGGACTTACAGATTGCATGACCTGAACTCATCCTTAGGGTTCGGATTTAAAGGAGAAGTACGAGGTCAGGACTTTCCCCCATAGTTCTCCTCAGGGGAAGACACAAACTAGCGTCCTCCCGTCACCCTAGGCTCAGTATATAGGGAGCTGTAGCACGCGGTATACTGAGACGCCGCAGCTGAAGCAGATCCCGACAATTAGGTCTGGATCCGCCGAGCTGCGTGAGTGACAGCTGGCTCCGCCTATCTAGAGGCTGTACCCGCCCCCTCCCCTGCCAGTCAGCGCTGGCGGGTCGGGGAGGGGGGAATCCAGCCCTCCCCCTGTCACGGCAGAGAACTGTGACCGGATCGAGAGTTGAGCGAGCGCCGGTATGTGTTCGCTCACCTCCCGATCTACTGAGCCGACCTGTGACAGTCTCATTGTCACACGTCGGCTAGAACTATGAGGGGAGTGAAAAGCCCCTCCCCCCCCTCGTAGTTCTCCTTTAACTCTATGGCTAAACCTCGGTGTGTTGGGCTTCTGTTGTCTCTGCCGAACTGACCAGAAGGGTTCCTTCCAGTTTATGAAGTACTCGTAACGTGGGTTTTCCAGCTCGCAGGATCGGGATTACGGGAAGTATGAGGATTTTCCATATCCGCAGCATGGAGAATGGGCTTGTGGCTTGCAGGGATTCCTCTGGCAACCTGCTGGGTACGGGGTGTTCTCTGGCTGGAGGACCGTGTTTAAAGGCCACACAGCGATGTAATTCTCCCACCACACGAGACCAACCTCTCCTCCTCCTATATTGTCTGCAGGGCTGAAGATGATCAGAGGGGCCGACGACAAGATGGAGTGTGGACCAGACCAAGCAAATCTCTCTGCGGTCTATGAGACTGGTAAGAACTTGGCTAGGAGGAACACAGTCCTTGTATAAGACACGCTGGGGGGAGTTTTGCTTTTAAAAACTAGCAAAGAACATTTTTAGTGGAAAGTTTTAGTAGAAGGGGGTCCCCGGAAACTCTGTGCTATGACCCCCTCGGTGACCTCCTGCAGCAAGGTCCATGTTTCATCTCACAGGAGGTCAGAGGTGGGCTTCATATCTCACCTTCGTAGGTGGCTTCTTCTCCAGCCAGATCTTCGTCAGGTTTAATCCATCCAGCCTGGTCCCGTTGGCCTTCTCCTCCTTGGGGTACTCCACGTCGGGGGTATTTTTAGGAAACATGTATTTTCTTCCCCCTCCCATGATGACCTAGAAGAGAGGTGAAACGTTAGTGCTGATCTGGCACGGTCGCCGCCCTTCCCGGAGATCTAACCGAATGTTTGTTTGTTTCCTCTTCCAGCGAAGATCGCCCTCTTCCAGCTCTGGTTCCGTTCCGCGGCTTCCAAAAACGTAAGTGACAAATCCCACGGGTCTTGTTTTTATTCTTCATTAGATCTCCTGCAGGTCAGTGATCCCGGGAAGACGGTGACCAGCACCGAATGCCACCAATGAGATGTTCTGTGAGGGAATTGTGGAAACCAGTGCCCAGCTGTCTCCCACACTTAAAGGAGAACTACGAGGTCAGTGTTTTTCCCCATAGTTCTCCTTGGGGTAACGGGAGGACACCAACTAGCGTCCTCCCGTCACCCTAAGCTACAGCTCGCGGTATACTGAGACGCCGCACCTGGAGCGGATCCCGACTTGGATGACGGGATCCGCCCAGCCGCGTGAGTGCCTGCTGGCTCCGCCTATCTAGAGGCAGAGCCAGCTGTACCCGCCCCCTCCCCCGTCCGTTCCGCCAGTCAGCGCTGAAGGATCGGAGCAGGGAGGGGGGAATCCAGCCCCTCCCCCCTGTCACGGCAGAGAGCCGTGACAGGATCGAGAAGTGAGCGAGCGCCGGTATGTGTTCCCGATCTACTGAGCCGACCTGTGACAGTCTCATTGTCACAGGTCGGCTTAGAACTATGAGGGGAGTGGAAATCACTCGTGTCATAGTTCTCCTTTAATAAAGTGTTAGCTCCTCTGCGCCAACAGTGCTAATAGTAGATCCACCAACACTGTATCATGTGTGACCATCAAGTCCCGCCCCCTCCAGTATAAAAAGCATGTGATCTCCTCCTCTAAATCCCATGTGTGTGTAATGCAATCAATGGTTTCCACAGTCCAAGGTGCAGACGAGCGCAGCAATGAGCCTGAAATGACCCTCCCAGGGGGTTACCAGGACCGGCGCCAACAACGCATCAGAGAAAGCAGGAGAAGGGGAAGCCGCCACGGCACCAAACTTTCATTAAATCGCCAGAATCCCTTCCAACGGTCTAGAGCTCGGCCAACACGAGGGATGAGACGCTTCGTCCTATGAAGGGAGTGACGCACCACACTCCCTTCCCATGGTCTAGAGCTCTGCCAACACGAGGGATGAGACGCTTCGTCCTATGAAGGGAGTGACGCACCACACTCCCTTCCCATGCTCTAGAGCTCGGCCAACACGAGGGATAAGACGCTTCGTCCTATGAAGGGAGTGACACACCACACTCCCTTCCCATGCTCTAGAGCTCGGCCAACACGAGGGATAAGACGCTTCGTCCTATGAAGGGAGTGACGCACCACACTCCCTTCCCATGCTCTAGAGCTCGGCCAACACGAGGGATAAGACGCTTCGTCCTTTGAAGGGAGTGACGCACCACACTCCCTTCCAATGCGCGTGTCCCAATGCGTAATGACGTCACTGTGCTGTGGCCTCACCCAATGGGTTTCATCATTGATGGACTTCATCACGAGTGGACGACCAATGGCAAAGCCCATTGGAATTGCTGCCAGGATTGAGCAACTCTTATCTGCAACTATTTAACTCTCTGATCAGTTGGTCATTTTGGGGTGGTGGAGCTTCTGGTGATGCTATGGTGTAGAGGATGGAGATGATCGGCAGTGGTATCTGGTGTACTGGAAACCTCTGACCCCTGTAGGGAGCAGAAATGATGCCCTTCATGAGGGTCCTCAGCGGTCCCAAGGTCTCCTCTGGGCCACCGGCCGTGCGGTCTTACCTCTATATCGGGAACGTTGTATATGAGCTGCCAGGCGATGTCTCTGCACCCCTCCTCTACCGCTTCTTTGGGCATCTCATTATCCGAAAACCAGTCTCTGTTAACGCAGTGGGCGTAGGCGGCGCTGGGGGTTGCGTGGTTCACCCGGGTGGTGGTCACTACGCCAACGGATTTCCCTGGAATTGTATAGAAGTGTGAGAATCTATGGAACATCACCATACTCCCCGAGGGTGGTTTGATGGGTTGCGCAACGCCGGCCGATAGACGTACATTGGTTTCCAGAGCATAGGAGGGGGGAGGGGGAGGGATGGAAATCTTTAGCAGGAAATGTTTGTCCACGGCTACATGTGCTCATTGATGTGAGGCGGGTGCTCATTGGTGTGAGGCGGGTACTCATTGATGTGATGGCGGGGGCTCATTGATGTGATGGCGGGGGCTCATTGATGTGATGGCGGGGGCTCATTGATGTGATGGCGGGGGCTCATTGATGTGATGGCGGGGGCTCATTGATGTGATGGCGGGGGCTCATTGATGTGATGGCGGGGGCTCATTGATGTGATGGCGGGGGCTCATTGATGTGATGGCGGGGGCTCATTGATGTGATGGCGGGGGCTCATTGATGTGATGGCGGGGGCTCATTGATGTGATGGCGGGGGCTCATTGATGTGATGGCGGGGGCTCATTGATGTGATGGCGGGGGCTCATTGATGTGATGGCGGGGGCTCATTGATGTGATGGCGGGGGCTCATTGATGTGATGGCGGGGGCTCATTGATGTGATGGCGGGGGCTCATTGATGTGATGGCGGGGGCTCATTGATGTGATGGCGGGGGCTCATTGATGTGATGGCGGGGGCTCATTGATGTGATGGCGGGGGCTCATTGATGTGATGGCGGGGGCTCATTGATGTGATGGCGGGGGCTCATTGATGTGATGGCGGGGGCTCATTGATGTGATGGCGGGGGCTCATTGATGTGATGGCGGGGGCTCATTGATGTGATGGCGGGGGCTCATTGATGTGATGGCGGGGGCTCATTGATGTGATGGCGGGGGCTCATTGATGTGATGGCGGGGGCTCATTGATGTGATGGCGGGGGCTCATTGATGTGATGGCGGGGGCTCATTGATGTGATGGCGGGGGCTCATTGATGTGATGGCGGGGGCTCATTGATGTGATGGCGGGGGCTCATTGATGTGATGGCGGGGGCTCATTGATGTGATGGCGGGGGCTCATTGATGTGATGGCGGGGGCTCATTGATGTGATGGCGGGGGCTCATTGATGTGATGGCGGGTGCTCATTGATGTGAGGCGGGTGCTCATTGATCTGAGGCGGGTACTCGTGCCCGCACTTGTGTTTTGTTTGGACAGTTGGACTCGGTGCTGACTTGGCATTGATTTAAATAACTTCTCATCAAACTGAAGAGGTTTATTTCCTGCTCGAAGGGTTGTCATCGGGGGAAGGGTACGCCAAGCTACAACACTGACAGGGGGAGGAGTCCTCTGCCCTCAGTGATGGGTCTGCCACTCACCTGCCTCTTTGGCCCACTTCAAGATGGAGTCCACCTCATTGCCCCTGGTGGTGTTGCACTGACCCCGCACCGATGCTGCGTTCACCCCAACTGTCCCCTCGTTGGCCTTCACTCCACACAAGTAGGCTGTGGCGGTGCCGGCGCTGTCGGCAACCTGGGCGTTGGTGTTATAAGTCTGCAGGAGAGAGGGAGACAGGTTTAGTCGCCTATTGTCTTCATACCATTGCCATGTCTGCTGGCAATACTTTGCTTTATGGAGAACCTTTCTTCAAGGTGTCTTTCAGGTAGAGGGGGAGGCCATGGTCTGACT